TCGGATCTCCGCATTTCCCTTATAATTAAAAAAAAAAAACGACCGAGTGCTGCAATATCGGATCTCCACATTTGTCTCATAATTCAATATAAAGCTTGAGCGTTATCGTTGCTATAATTGAAAGAACAGAAGCAATTGAAAATGTTAATCGACGGCCGAAGAGCAATTACGTGGGGCATAATAGCCGTAATCGGAGAGTTTTTCGCGCTCGTATAACGAGTCCCACGCGTCCCTCTAAATTTGGATCTCTCCACTCCCGCCGTCGACTGTCTCTTTCACTTCCTATTTTTCTTCGGCCGTCTCACCTCCTTTCGCTCGGTCCCCGTGCGCGGATCCCGGAGGTGTAGGACCACTGGCGGAATCAGCGAAAAACCTGATTCACAAAAATCCAGCTGGACCGGTTTCGCGCGGCTCTATCGCGTTTCATTGGGTCTCATCGTGTTTAATCGAACCCCTTTCTTCTTTTTTTTCCGCCGCTCCATCGCCGACACCTATTATTCGCGTGTTTTTCACACTCCGTTTAGCAGCTTTTACGATCGGTAGTCACGAGAGAAAAACGTAAATACTACCGATGGCGCCAGAGTCCTCCTACTTTTAATTTCTGACGCTACTCGGCGAAATGATAGGGTATTTGATTACAGGCCTGGCTATTGAGCTTCGAAATTATCAATACGCCCGCTTTTTAAATCGGTATTACCTTCGTTCCACGCGGAAAAAATTGCCGTTAAGATCCCGGTGCAGTTTGCTTTGTTTCCGTTGTCTATGGAAACGCGTCCGGAATTTTTAATTGACGTTTGCTCGAAAATATACGAATCTATAATTCAATTAAATTCAATTAAATCCAATTAAATACAACTAAATTCAACGAAATTGAATTCAATTCAATTAAAGTCAATTAAAATCAATTCAATTCAATTCAATGTGATTAAATTGAATTAAATTTATTTATATATACTGGTACACACACCTGTTTTCACAGCAATCGAGACAAGAAAACATCTTATTCCGAACGGCGAATGATCTTGAGAATCAATTCCGAAAATCGAAGAGCTAATTAAAAGGTTATCGACCGCTTATTATTCATTTGTTTTTTCTGTCGCAAGAAGTGCGATTCGGAGCGAATTTTTCGAAAGATCAAAACCGTAAAATTGATATCAAAATCTTTGGTACGTGAAACATCGAGCGTTCAACCCTTTGCACTCGGATGCTCGCGAAAACGAGCGTCACGCCCAAAATTCATGGCGTCATTAATACATAGTCCGTGAACAGTCAGCTTCCATTCGGCTGCCAGGGGATCCTTTTGTAGCAAAAGGATCCTGACGGAGTCGCGGGAGAGAAAGAGAGACGAAAGAGAGAGAGAGAGAGAGAGAGAGAGAGAGAGAAAGAGAGAAAGAGAGACGAAAGAAAGAAAGAGTGAGCGGGGCTTAAAGACTTCCTCACCGCCGCGGACAGGGAGAGAACGTTCTCGAGATTCGAGATAAAGGGAGATCGTTTTACCCGCGGACATTCGTTTAATCTGTCTTCGAGGTGTTGGGCCGTGATCAATGGCGTGGCGCTGGTACATCCGTAATCGGGTTTTCACGAATAGACGGCGACGATCCTTCCCAGTTGGACCGCTCGATTATCCTTTCCGATGAACAGGCCTTGGGAGCGATTGATACCATTTGTTCCGCCATTTAATGACGATTAGGCCCTCTTTTTATTGCGGCTTTGAGAAAACCAGCACACCCTCTCCCTTCATTATAATCGGTATTGCTGATTTTATTTAGAATTTGTAACACTTTGCACTACGATTTCTTTCACAGCTACGTTGACCAACATTTCTTAATCTTTTTACCTGATAGAACGCGACAATTTCCGTGTCTTCTATGTCGCAATTTTTTGAGGACTTTTGTCTCGAATCAAATTTTCTTTTGATTTAAGAGGAACGGATAATTTGCTATTATTTCATGCAGTATTGTGTCGATTTTTTAAATTATTTTTGGAGTCGCCATATCTTTTTCTATCTGTGCTGAAAATTGCACTTAAAAAAAAGAAGATTGCACTTAAACGCAGTATGCGATGTTCTCTGAGTTAAAATGAAATTTTCATTTTCTCTGAATTATTTTTATGTTGAGGTCGAATTATTTTCTCTGTGGTAAAGCTTGCTCCAAGTGCTCCGTTAAATCATGATGAATTTACTAAACGTGGAATCATTTTTGTACCGAGATAAAACAAATAATACTTTGCTAGATATATTGTATTGAATATGATACTATATTCTATTATTCTATTAAATTCTTCGATATATTTCATAACAATCTTCTGTTTCTAGTGCACAGACTGGACACTAAATCTACTGTTCCGATTCAAACGATCGATTTCGCATTGTTTCTTTAAAAATTGTTGACATTATGAAGACTTTATCACAAGGAGATGATCGAATAATATTTTATTTAAAGCGTACACTAATAATACAAATGGCGCAAGTGCTGAACAAATTCAGTCTTGTCAATCTTACAGAACAACATACGTCGATCACTTTTAGTAGTTTGTTGGTTTGGTATTAACAATACTTGTTAACCATACTTGATTTTATGTAGAATCGATCATTTTCAGTTCAAATTCGGACTCGTCGAAGAAAGAAAGCGAAACAGAGAAGCCATTGATCGAATTTCAGCAGATTTCGAGAACCAATCGAGCGATGCAGTAAATTCTCTCCAATTGTCCCTCGGCTTGTAAACAAAAATGGACAATTAGGGAAGCGGAGATACGATCGTTAGATGTGTATAAGAGACAGAATTTCAGCAGATTTCGAGAACCAATCGAGCGATGCAGTAAATTCTCTCCAATTGTCCCTCGGCTTGTAAACAAAAATGGACAATTAGGGAAGCGGAGATACGATCGTTAGATGTGTATAAGAGACAGAATTTCAGCAGATTTCGAGAACCAATCGAGCGATGCAGTAAATTCTCTCCAATTGTCCCTCGGCTTGTAAACAAAAATGGACAATTAGGGAAGCGGAGATACGATCGTTAGATGTGTATAAGAGACAGAATTTCAGCAGATTTCGAGAACCAATCGAGCGATGCAGTAAATTCTCTCCAATTGTCCCTCGGCTTGTAAACAAAAATGGACAATTAGGGAAGCGGAGATACGATCGTTAGATGTGTATAAGAGACAGAATTTCAGCAGATTTCGAGAACCAATCGAGCGATGCAGTAAATTCTCTCCAATTGTCCCTCGGCTTGTAAACAAAAATGGACAATTAGGGAAGCGGAGATACGATCGTTAGATGTGTATAAGAGACAGAATTTCAGCAGATTTCGAGAACCAATCGAGCGATGCAGTAAATTCTCTCCAATTGTCCCTCGGCTTGTAAACAAAAATGGACAATTAGGGAAGCGGAGATACGATCGTTAGATGTGTATAAGAGACAGAATTTCAGCAGATTTCGAGAACCAATCGAGCGATGCAGTAAATTCTCTCCAATTGTCCCTCGGCTTGTAAACAAAAATGGACAATTAGGGAAGCGGAGATACGATCGTTAGATGTGTATAAGAGACAGAATTTCAGCAGATTTCGAGAACCAATCGAGCGATGCAGTAAATTCTCTCCAATTGTCCCTCGGCTTGTAAACAAAAATGGACAATTAGGGAAGCGGAGATACGATCGTTCGAGCCTTGCGGCTCATTTTTATAGCTGTTGACGGTAACTGCGAAAACAAGCCGCGAGGCTCGAATAATCGTGCTTCCTTTTCGGAAATTGTCCATTTTCATTTGCAAGCTGAGAGAATTTACTTTAATGCCATTCCACCGAATTTCGAGATAGAAGTTCGCGCTTGAATCGATTCAGGGTAGAAAAATCGAAACCCGTGAACCAGTTAGGCATCCCCAACTCCATTGCCGTAGCTCGCCATACGATCCGCGAATCACATCCGTTAGATTCGTATTCGGCAGCCGTACGCACTGTGTCACGTCGCGCATGTGTGCTCGGCGCAGCGCTAGAATACCCATCGACCAATCGGGCCCCGTGATAACGCCCACACACCAATGAGAAACCCGCAGAACGCCCACTGATTAGATACTAGGGAAATCTCGCTGGCCGTCCAGGAAGAGAAATCGATGCCGAAATGGTCGCCACCTGCTCCGCGGTTTTCGAATTTCCATTAGACACCTCGATTATCTCGCTTCCACTTCGCGCGATTAAACGTTCGCGCGAGTGGAAATTCAATCGTCATATTCGATCACGAAATCGCGTGAAAATTAGATAGTTACTAATACGTGAATTATAACAAAGTTGCAGATCCCAAAATTGCAGATTTTTGCGATATTGAGGTAACTGCTTCACGTTTTACAATTTTGCATAGTCCTGCAATTACTATCATTTTGACGTGTACTATGACAAATGGACAGCGGATTTTATGCTCAACTATGGAGACGTTAGAAGACTTCGCGGTTAATATTGCATTATTTCCAACTTATTACAATGATTAAAGGAGGAAAGACATTTTCATTTGACATACTTTTCTCATAGTTGACTAAGATCGTGTTTATTCTGCATCAAAATCCGCAGTCTAGTGATCGAGACAAGGTGTAAACAATCTCCAGAATTTGTTCCGGAGATTCTCCACGGCTGCGTTTACTGCCACCCAATCGAAAGGGTTCGTAAAGCGATAAACGAAAAATAAGACACTGAGATGAGAGATCAGATCGTCCACTAATATCCTAAAAAGTTCGGAGACAATGCTGTCTAATTATGACAGCAGGAGAATTCCGCGAAGCAAACTATGCGCGAAAAGTGACAGTAGCTCATCGTTCCACCATTCTACCAATCAGTGCTCGAATAAAATCCACGAATAAAATACATCAAGAAGCTTCAAACAGCTCATCGAAGCTGATTCATCACCCAGAATCAACCCCCGACAATTAATCGAGCAATGAACTTGCTCGCCATCATCCTCGATCAGAGGCTCGAAATCTCAGCCCCGCCAACGAAGAGAACCCATGACAGATACTTACAGAACCACCATAGCTGCTTCGTGGCTTCCTCAGCGAATGATCGACGGTCCAGCGATCTTGGAAGGATCCGAGTGGTCCAGCTGGTCGAAGGGACACTTCACTGACTACAGAGAGCAAGCTCTGTCGAAGAACCTCTAACAAGCGGAACTTGGCCTCCTCATAGCCCGAACCCCGGAGGACACTAGTCTTCAAGAAAAAAAAAAAACTCCACTGATCCTGGCGTGTAGGTCCCCGGTGATCGAGGAGCGTCTGGATCGCTCGAGGATCCTGCACGATCGTCGCCGAGGATCCTGGGACGCGTGAATAGCTGCGTGTCGATGCGTGCGACACGGAGTCGATTCGTGAACTGAGGCGCCTCCACTCTGACGCGTACTAGTTCTCGGGCCAGCACGTTGCCACCACGGTGGATAGCGTCCGACGGCGTGGTTAGTCCTGGCCGGCGACAGGGAACGCCTAGGGGAGTGGCCAGGCCCGGCCAATCCGCTGCCAGAGTCCGCAGAGGGTGCATAATAGCCGGCAACCCCTCTCGACCCGGCCGAGGATCGATCACCGGCTCTATCCGCCGCTCCTCCTCGATGCGATACGGGGTTTATTGCTCCTGTTACGGAATCCCAGCTCCTCTGCTCGTCGATTTCCGGTTTTTTTCCCAGTCGACATCATGTCGAACCTATTCGCCGTCGAACCGATTGCCAGTCCTGAGGTCTGTTTGGTTTTCGTCGCGGTTCGCCCTGGGGTGAGTTCGCCACGATCTTTTGGAGGCTCGGGGATTGGCTGGGGTCTTGCGGTTATTCGGGGTAGGTTTCGGGGATGTTTCTCATCGGTTCGTAATGAGGACACGCGGTATTGACATGTTTTAACGTTGCTTTAACGCCGAGATTACCGAGTTCTAGAGGCGACTATGCGCGTTGTTTTGTAAGGATGACAGGACTGAATTTATTTAATAATTTCCGCTATTTTTATCGTAATGCGAGCTGGAATTAATTAATTTATTCAATGGTTTTTTACGGGAGAGTTTTAATAGTTTCAACAATTTGGATCGGCTTGGTCGGTTTAGTGTTAACTTATGGGAACCTGAAGCTGGTTCGTTAATTCTTTGACGTATTGTTTTCTTCGATGATCAGTGTTTATTCGATTACGATAATTTTTTATAAGAAAAAGTAAACCTATATTTGTCAGTTTCTTTTATATTGTGTATTTACACTTACTTGAATAATAGGACGAAGTTCTACGAAGAGAAATCTTCAGGAATTCATACAGAAAGTAATCGATTTGAATAAAAATGATAGATAAAAATGATATGTTTTTTCATAGTTTATCAATTTATTTCTCCTACATTATTTTTTCGAATTATTCGAATGTGTAGAGCAATTTATGACGATGAATGAATTATTCGAATAAAATAATCGACTAAAAGGAATTCATTCGATTAATTATGTCAGATGAATATTTATTTGAGAGACTTCACGTTTGCCATAAATGCATAAAATCCGCGGTCCAGCGATCGCGATCGGAGTACAAAGGGGATAGATTTTTGATTAGTTGGAAACAGCGTTAGAGACGATACAGCTGGAGTTATCAATCCAGGGGAGCCAAGGGTTGATTGTAGAGGATCGTAGACCACTCTGAGCTCGCAATCAGCTGGTCCCGCGGCGCTCTAAGGGGGTGTCCCAGCTTGGATACTCCTACTTCCTACCTTCTCCATCCCTTTGCCGTCGATCCTAGGTACCCGCATCCAAGACAACGGCCCGTTACGCTTCGATCGAACCTGAACCCACGACGCAAACATATCTGACGAGGTGAGCGCGTCCTTCGGAATTGAGGAGCTCCTCTGATTCCCACCTAAATGCTGGATTCCGCCCGACAATGCACCGTGTCGCGAGTTTCTGGAAACCCTGTGCCACACAGATACCAACGATCCAACTCGTGAAACGATCTGAAAGCAAAAATCCCACTGGTATTCATCATTTTCTTCTTATTCTCTGCTACCCTCCAAATTTTCAATTCTAATTAGAAATAATTTTCTGATTTTTTAACGTGGTTCGTAATAATATCTTTACTTGCAATAAATGTTTATTGAATAATATAAAATTCTAGAAAATTTTTTTGTGAATATTGCGAAGATAAAAAATATTTGAAAAGACGAAAAAATATTGCAACGAGCGTTTATTAAACAATATACAATTTTAGAACATTTTCGTGAATAATTATCGAGGGGGTGATTACTTACTGAAATTTTATTTTTAACAGAATCGGGAATCATTATAAATGAAATTTATACTAACAAAAATCCAGCACAATTTAGAATTATATTAAATATCAGTTACAATTTAAATTTTTATTAAAAATTGAAACGTTTACTAAAAATCCATTACAGTTTAAACTTATGTTAGAAATATCTGAATTATAATTACAATAATAATTTTTACTCTAGAATTCTGTTACAACAACTACGTTAAAAATTTATTACAATTTAAACTTCCACTGAAACTCTAATGTATATAATTTTTCTAAGAAGTTGCGTAACAATTAGCACGATTCGTTTCAACTATCGTCGCAACGGAATTCCATGGAAGAGCGATACGATCGGGCCCAATTACCATAGAATTAGTAAAGTAGATTAACCGGACACCCAGCTACCAGAATGGCCGGTCAATTTCATGAGCCGTGGGTCCGTTGATCGCGATACGATCTACGAGTCTTGTTCCTCAATTCGTGGCGCATTCTTGTCGCCGCGTCGCGACGCCTGTCCCTCTCCGCAGCGACGACGCGTTTCCGCAAGAGCGGTTCAACCGCACGTGCGATTCCGTGGCTTGGACCTGGCACGTGCGTCTCCCTGATAACTCTACCGTCACTTCCTACCACGTGTTCACAGGTGTGCGACACTAAATTAAACATTAAACGTCATTAAGGGTAGGTTTCTCGGGCGAGAAACGCGACGAACGGTATCGTTTTCGGAAGACAGGAGAGAACGAACATCAAAGTGACGAGCGCTGCTCGAAGTTACCCCTAATTCTCTCACGGGATCCTTTAAATGCCGCTGAGGGAGGGTCGGCGGTGTCAAGGGTTGAATCCGGAAGGGTGGCAATGGATAATTAGGGAATTTAATCGCCAACTTCGCGAAACATCGTGGATCACGGTGGAACGTATAACTCGAACGGTTTCACATTTATTATTGTAAAAGCGATGAAACTGTAAAGATTCTTCGATGGAATATTAATTGTTTGGTTCGTGTATATGCTTTTGCAACAGTCCGATATAATAAAAAGTGCGAAAAGTGTAATAAATTCAGTTCTATCTTAATTAGAATGCAGCATACTTTTTGATCACTTTAAATGATCGTTCGACTTAATGTTAAACGTTAAATTGAAAGATTAAACTTCGAAAAATGCATGCAGCATTAATTGAAGTCCGAATGTTGCAAGAAGTCAAAGAAACTTCACATTTACAGGATAACTTCACAATATTTTCTTATAATTATGAGAGACTTGAAGGCACTATTATAGATAACTGGCACGTTTGGAGAATCTTTTGGAGCAATGGATTTATGAGAATTCTGTATTATACTCCATTCGAATTAATTCCAAGTTTCTCCTACAATCCGCATTGATTTCGAGACTCGAACCGGCAGGGAACAGTGGCAGTTTTCGCAAGCAAATGGCGTCGTTCGGCGAGCGAAGACAGCCAGGTCTCCACCCAAATTAGCCATCGGCAGGCGGACGGAAAGTTTCGGGTCCGAAAATGGCCGTCGCGCGGAAAACAGTGAGAAGAAAAACGAGCATCGGGAGATGGTTCCGCCGAGCGAAACGAAGCGAAGCGAATCGAAAGGACGAAAAGAGAGAACGCTCGGTCGCGGGGGTGGAAGGTGGCAGCGAGGAGGCGGAGGTATTATACAGGAGGACAGAGAGAGAGAGAATCGGGAGAGGGTGGAGAGAAGGCAGAGTTCGGGTCTGTTTAAACACAGAGGGTGTGCAATCAGGAGTGTTTGCCGGGGCCACGAGCGAGCGAGCGAGCAAGCGAGCAAGCGGATCAAAGGATAAACGCGGATGGGGTGGGTGGCCGGCTGATAGCGCTCTGATTTGATTGTTGGCCGCGGCTATTGTCCCCGAAACTGGCCTATTGTACTTGTTCCCGTGTCGGCGCGGCCTCGGCACTAGCACACAGGTTACCGCGGACGCAGCCTGGAACTACGCTTCTGTCTGTGACACTATCTCTTTGCCGGTCGCCATTCCGCAGCCGGCCCGGACCTCCGATACACTCGGCGGGCCGACAATTATTGCGGAAGTATCGCGAAAAAATTGCGCCTCGATCACAATTCCCGCCGCCATCGCTCCGGATCGTTTTTTCTCCCGCTTTCCCGCCGATCTTTTTTTCTTTTTTCACGGCGCCCGGTCCAGCGCGGCGATACGCATCGTAGGGGGTTGTTTTATGATTTTACACTGGAACAGCTTTCGCCGCCATCTTGTCTGGCTGTGCGGCATTTTTACACCATTTTTTTTGTCCGGCCTTATCCGTGCCACCGATAAGTCGAGTTTTTATTTTTTTCGCGAGTTTTATGGCGGCAACCGGCATCGCTTTTTCGGGCATTCGGGTGTAGCGGTGCGTGGATGATATCCTGTTGGCTTCCGGGCGCTTTAATTTTTCCGGCGAATTATTCGCGGGGTTTTTTAATGCGGTTAGCGTCGGATCAGTCGTTAGAACGGTTCTCTGAAATACCGGCGTAATTTATTTGGCGAAACAGAGACTGGAACATCCGGTGGTTTAGTTTGTTAACCCTCTGCACTCGAATTGCGACTGTCGAACAGTGGTGCATCTAAAAATAATCTGGTTGCAGTTAGAAATAATTTTTATATCGTATATTAAACAGTTTTATATTGCAATGAATTTGTTTGTGTTTAATAATTGTTACGATTTAAGAATTCTTGATAATTTAATCATTCTTGACAATTTAAGAATTCTTGATAATTTAATCATTCTTGACAATTTAGCAATTTTTGAGAATTTACTAATTCTTGACAATTTAGTAATTCTCGACAATTTCATAATTCTTGAGAGTTTAACACAAGGTTTACACGACCCATCAGAATGATGCGCTATCATCATCTAATTTACAATTATTGAAATTACAAGGTTCACGAGTTATTTATTCAATAAATGTGTTACTTGCGACAGATATTACAATCAAAATCGTAAAAAGTACTGATATCTGTTACTTCTAAAAATGCAACATAAAATAGTTGTTCTCAGTACTCCATAAACCATGCGTTTAGCATGTTTCGTGGGCATAAAATGAAGGAAGTCGTACGTAATCAAAATGTTCTA